TAAAGTCATAATATAATGATAATAAACTCATAACATTACCAGAATCAAGTTGTAGTATTATGAGAATAAAATTGTAATACCAGAATAAAGTCGTAGTATTATGAGAATAAAACCATAATATTATCAGAATAAACTTGCAATATTTTCAGAAAGTCATAGTATTATCAGAATAAACTCGTGATATTACCAGAATAAAGTCGTAGTATTAACAGAACTCTGGCATGACAAAGCAGTCTTACAACTGAGGTAAAATGATGAATGTTGTGCGTTTTGTTAAGTTATACTTTGGTATTGGTTTTACAAGTAATGAAATACTTAATCTGTTAGCACATCAGCAACAGATTATTATCAGTATCAGGACTTTGAAACAATTGTGCAAACGACTGTCTGTTTTGAAGAAACAGCCACATGGATTTGGAAAATATTCCTTGTTTTGTGGAAGAGGAGCTTTCTGGCAGTGGTCGACTGCAAGGCTAAACGTGGTTAGCTATAGTAGTGGTGGTTAGCTTAGTAGTTTTTCTAATTAAAAACAACTTTATTCTGGTTATATTATGACTTTATTCTCATAATATTATGAATATTCTTGTATTATTTCAATTTTATACTTGTACGACTTTATTCTCATAATATCATGACTTTATTTTCGTATTATTTCGACTTTATTCTCGTACGACTTTATTCTCGTATTATTTTGACTTTATTTTTGTACGACTTTATTCTCATATTATGGCTTCTAGCATTATTTCAGTTATTCTTGTACGACTTTATTTTTGTAATATTATTTTATTTTTGTATTATTTCAACTTTATTCTTGTATTATTTTGACTCTATTCCTGTACGACTTTATTCTCAAGACTTATAGCATTAGTTCATTTATTCTTGTATGACTTTATTCTTGTAATATTATGACTTTATTCTTGTAATATTATGACTTTATTTTCCTATTATTTTGACTTTATTCTTGTATGACTTTATTCTCATAATATTTCAACTTTATTCTCGTACGACTATTCTCGTGCGACTTTATTCTTGTATGACTTTATTCTCATAATATTTCAACTTTATTCTCGTACGACT